CCGAGATCGACCCGAGATCGACCCGAGATCGACCCGAGATCGACCCGAGATCGACCCGAGATCGACCCGAGATCGGCACGAGCGATCAACCCAACAATGCCCCAAAGCCCCCTCTCTGGGGGACCCCCCCTCACCCCGAGTGTCCGTGTCCTTCGCGAGTCACCGATGGGGAGCGGGGGGGGGTGCGAGATGCACAGGGGAGGCTGGGGAGGGGGGGGTCCACTCTGAAGACTGCCGACCGCGGAGGGGTTTTGTCCCACAGGGTTTTACCCTCCGCGTGAGGATCGGCGCGGCGAGGGGGTAGGTTCGAATTCGCCGCGCAACATTTCACCCCCACAGGACCCCGCCCACCCCCCCTCATGGTCCCACCTAGTACCCCAATGAGCCTTCGCACCCCCTCCTTGCGCAGTGTCCCCCACTATGTGTCGCCGTTATCGGGGCATGCTATCCTGTGTAGTCAGGGCAAGTGGGGGCGAGGCGCACTCCCATCTCTCCTGTGTACGGATGGTGACTGTCCCTAGTCTCGGAGGGGGGCTTGAAGCTAAGAATATTTATTTTTTTTATCGACTGGCCGCGACTCTACATCTGGTAATGAACGATCGCCGTTGCCCACACACACGCGCTTTTGCCCTCCACAGCATTATGTCGGAGAGTCGCGCGCCTCACGCGCTGGCGGCTCCGAGAACGACAAAGAGCGGGAAAGGACAGTCGGCCAGGCCGCCGCGGCCGTCGGCCAACGGCGCTCAGCAGATCTTGCAGTGGCAAGTGTCGTGCATCTTGTTGGTGCCGTTAAAGTGCATCTCGCCGAGGTGCGGGTGGCGAAAGATGCGGGGTCCGACGCGGCCCCAGATCGGGTAGACGTCGTTGCACGCGGGGAGCACGCCGAGGCAGCACATGCACTCGCCCGTCTTGATCTGTCGCCCGGGAAGCGCGGTGGGGGTGAGGGCGGGAGGGGCGCGGGAGGGGGCGGGGGAGGCGGGCGGAGATGGCGGCGGCGGGGGCGGGGGCGGGGGCGGACCTCGTCCGGCGAGAGGGCCTCGAACTGCTCACAGCCCGGGAAGCAGCCGCACACATCGGTGACGAACCTGCGGCAAGAGGTCGTCTGGTGAAGAGGGTCGGTCGGCTCCTCTTTCTTTGTTGGGGGCCCTGTGGGCATCATACTGTAGTCGCGATCTGCCTGCGTGCGTGTATGAACTCACTAACTAGAGCTCGCACTAGAGGCTGTCCTCGCATTCGCCTTCCTGGGGCCCAGTGCTGCCTGCTGACTGTCGTCGCTGTCTCTCCCTTCTCGACGGTCTGTGTATTGTGTGCGTCTTGGGATCGGGGGTGTCCTTTTGCGTGAAGCGGGGGGAGAGAGCGGGCCCGAGAGGCGCGCGAGGGCGTCGCACCAGCATCCGGCGACTTGGAAGGCGTCGATGTACTCAGGGTCGCTGCGGTCGATGCACATCTCCGGCGGGCCATCGTGGTACACGTGGTGCACCTCGGTCTGCGGCGCCGGCGGGTACTGCGGCTGCGGCGGGTACTGCATCTGCGCCGGCGCGTACTGCTGCGCTGGCGCGTACTGCTGCGCGGGCGCGTACTGCTGGGGCGCGCCCGCAAAGCCCTGCGCCACCGCGGGCTGCGCGACGACCGGCTGCGCCACCGCGGGCGGAGGCGCGGCCGGCACCTCAAAGGTGAACGACTGGCCCTCCACCAGGCCTGACGGAACCATCACATTCATGAGACCGCCCGGCGTCGCGACCTGCATCATTTGCCCGCCGGCGACACCGGACGGCACCGCCACAGTCAACAGCTGAGGTGCAGGCGCCGCCATCGCCACCGGCGGCGAGCTGCTCGAGCCGCCGCCGCCGCCGCCTCCGCCCGGCGGTGAGACATTAAACGTGTCGCCCGGCCCGAGTCCTTTCGGCACGACCGCATCAAACTGCACCTGAGTTGCCGGATCTATTACCGGGAAGCTGTCCCCGGCAGATGCGCCGGCGGGCACGGAGACTTGCAGCATGTACACACCCCGGACGAAGAGCGACGGCAGGACACAGCAGCTGCTGGCGCCGTTCCCCACTACCGGGTACCCGGCGTATGGTCCGACACATCTAAAGTGGAAGGGTGGGGTAGGGGAGAAGTACTCTTGAGGGAAACATTGGACCGTCAGGCCCCGGGGACTGGCCAGCCCGACTGACACAACCTTCAGGAACACCATTTTGCGGTCCTGAGCGGCCGTCTCGGAGCAGAAGCTTCCCTGCCTCCTTAGCCATGTTGCGGTGCCCTCGTGCCATCTGGTCCACGCACTGCTCGCAAGTAAAGCGTCTTCACAGGTCGGCAGATACGCCTCACCTTCGAAAGGGTGGCTGCCTACCCCAAAGCCCAGCCCGGGGCATCGATTTCTCTTGACGATTTCACTTTAAAACGCTGGTGTGTGCAGGATATGGGTGTTGTAGCAAACAACCGTCTGGCTGTGAGGCGTCGATAGACCGCGTCCCATTTCGCGTGTCTTCCACAGTGCGAAATGGGACGGCTGCCGCCGCGCCCCACCCCGGCTGCGTGCGGCTCCCTCCGGCGGCCAGCTCCCGGCCCAGGTGCACCCGCGGCTGCGTGCTCCTCGGCAGCCCCTCTGCCGACGGCCGAAGCGAGCCGGAAGCCTGCCGAGCGGCTGCCTTCGGCGAGACGGCCTCGGCGGAGGGACCTCCACTCAAGGCGGCCGTCGCGACGCCTCGCGCCGGCGGGGTCGGCTGCGCCCACGCCGCCCCCCGCTCCTTCGACGCGGCGCCCGACCGACCTCCTCGTCTTCCGTCTCTGCTAGCCGGCAACGGCGCTCGCGAGAGGCGTCGAGCGGCGTCTTGACTCTCCTCCTCGGCCGGCGCGTGCCGTGTCAGCCGCGGGCTGGTGTGGCGCGTGGAGTAACGGTCGGCCTGGCCTCACGTAGGCCAAAGAGCGCGCCGCGTGCGCCTTCCTCTCGCATCCATCTCGCCGCCTGCGGTGCTCTCGTGCGCAGCCTCAGCCGGCGCGCGCTCTCTCTGAGTCAGCACTCAAGCGACAGCACCTGTCGCGCACGCCAGGCGGATACACCGCGTGGCCGCGAGGACGGCGGCGAGCGGCTGACCGACCCAGCTCTCCCGCCTGCGATAGGGGACGAGGTCGGTTGTGCAGGAGTGCGGCGTAGGCAGAGTTCAGGAGAGCAGCCCGAGGCGGGCCTCACAGTTCTGCCCGCGTCACCCCACTTCCGACGCAGCGCACACCGCGCGTGTGGGTAGACGAGTGCGGCGCGTGCAGGTAGGGAGGCGCGCCGAGCCTCCTGCATCTCTGTGACAGCTGTGACCGTGCGCCCACCTTGATGTGGTGGTGAGCCTGGGGTATGAAACGTGTGGAGCGAGTTTTGTGCGCCGGCGCCGGCACCGAGTGGAGTACTAGCCTTACACATTCCCAGAAGTACCCTTCATATGCCGCGCGGTACGCTTGGAGACCCACGACGGTGCCCCTCGCCACAGGCACAGAGTCTCAGCGCGCCGTCTGAGCGTGAGGACTCCCTGGCACACGAGTAGGGGTGCCGGTGTCGGCCACCCTCGCGCGCGCGCTCCAAGGGCGCGGGCCGCACCGCGCTACGGCGTGGAACGAGAGGGCGCAGGCCGATAATCGCGCGCCGCTCAAGCGGGCGTCACGCCGAGCAACGGAGAGGCGCGCGCGGGATGATGCCACCGGCGAGGGCCAGTCGACAGCACAGCGAAGCGCGTCGCTTTGGCGAGGGCATGCGAACGGACTCGTCCGTGCTGGTCGGCTCCGCGAGTCCGGCCCGGGCGGCGAGTCAGCCACCTAGAGGCGGCGGTGCCGCGTCGGGAGGCGGGAGGCGCGAGAGAAGCGGTAGGCGGCAGCGGAGCGCGCGCGTCGGGCCGCCGAGGCGGCAGCGAGTCAGGCCGCTCTCGCGGCACGCGCGGTGAGCTCGGCGGCGACTCGAGAAGGCCCGAAGGGGGCCGTCTCACATCGGCGCCGCTCGCGCTGTCGGCAGCCGACCGAGGGAGGGCTCTGCCCTCGCCGCGCGTCGCGCGAGCCGCCTCCGGCTGCCGCAGCCGACCCGGGTGGCTCGGAGGCACGCCTGGGGCAGCTCTGGACGGCAGCGGAGGCGTAGGGAGGCGTGCAGCCGTCTATCGCCGCCTGCCCCACGGCGCCGCGCCAGGCGGTCTCTCCCTTCCCGAGGTCTCTGGGGATCCCTACCTACAAATCCCGAGGTCTCTTGCCTACTGGGGCACATATACATCGCGCGCCATCGCGACAACAGAGCGGCCTCCTCTACAGAAAAAAGAATGTCACGGCGATCGAGGTTCATAATCTATCTCCGTGCCGTCGACGCTTTCCTCTTCAAGAACAAGGCGACATTCGACGCGGACCTGCACGGCTGGGACGTCTCCAAGGCGACCACGATGGAGCACATGTTCTCAGGGGCGACTCAGTTCTCCGGAGACATCAGCACGTGGGATACGTCCTCGGTCACGAGCATGAGGGAGATGTTTGCCGCGTGGCCGCAAGACTGCACGTTCAATGGGGACATTACACGCTGGAACACGTCGCGTGTGACGACGTTCCGACAGATGTTCCGCCACAACGACCACTTCAACCAAGATGTCAGCGTGTGGGACATTCGCAGCATCCAGGGGCCCATGGGACTGTATGAGATGTTCCGCGACGCGAATGGCATCAGTGCCCTCTCCGACTGCTACAAGCGGCGCGTGTATGACTCATACACGGCGCAATATGCCACTGTCAGCTCTGAGGCGCTCTGGACGGTCGACTATCAAGGCACTCGCCCCGGGCAGACGGCCAGGTGGGCTGACCTTCCGCCATGTACATATATGCCCATACCCGCCGCCCTCGCCGCCGCCGCCGCCGCTGCCGCCCATGCCCCCACCGCCACCACCGCCAAACGCCACCACCACCGCCGCCGCCGTCGCGGAAAAAGATTTGTATCCACTGCTCGAGACAGTGTTTTCGGTTATTTTTATTCCTCCAACGGCGTGCCATGTTCGCATTCTGGCTGCAAAGAGCAGTGCTCGGCGCACCACATCGGCGAAGTCCGACGAAGCACACCCTAGTTCCTCCCTGGCTGGTTGACTCCCGTGCCACCGCCAGCGTGGCAAGCTGTGGGGCTGGCATCGGCGACGACGACGTTGCGTCTCTCCTGCGCCCGATTTCGCTCCACGCCCATCGCTACAACAGCTCACGCTGCCTCAGCGACCCGCGCGGTACGGTCGTGCCTCCGCGATCGTGCGCGTGCGGGCTTAAAGGCACGGTGCTGCTGCGGGGCATGGCGCCCGTAGAGTGCTCGCCGCCGTCCGAGTGCCCGTCGCAGCTGCCTCTGCCCTACTTCTCGGTGCTCCCCGACGGCAGCGGAGAGCTTATAACGATCGGCACGCCTTCGCGGCTACCACTTGCCCACATGGCATTTGAGCTGCTTCCCGCCTCGCACGACTCGCACTGGGTGCGGCTGCGGCACGTAGCGAGCGGCTCGCTTGTGATGATGCAGCCGCCGGCTGCGGAGGGCGCTTGGACCCTACAGCTACACAATGCGTCAACGCGCTCCGACCCCTGGAGCTCGCAATTATTCTGCTTCACCCGCGTGCAGAGGGGGGGCGGCACGCATCTGTACTCGGCGGCGGCAGGAGGCTACGTCACGCGCCACGGCCGTGTCCTTCTGCGAGGGCACGGCCGCGTTTGCCCCCGGCATGCAACCAGACGGCGCGGAGGAAGAACGCGCGGCCGTGCCCTCGATGAAGGATACAACCAGCCCACCAACGCGATGCGAACGTGCCAGCAGCGACAGGGCCCTGGAGAGCGCACTGCGCTCAGTCGCCTCGCGCTGCTGCGTGCGCCCCCCGCGGCGTGGAGGATGAACGCGCGGCTCTGCAACTGCCGGCGGCTTCTATCTGCCGCCGCGCGGCACACCGCCACCACCTCGAATAATGAGGGCGGCGGCGGCGAGGGCGGTGGCGACGGTGGCGGTGACGAGGGCGGCGACGTTGGCGGCGGCGACGTGAGCGGAACACATGCACATGCGGTGCCTGCACGTCCGGCGCCGACCAAGCCTGCAACGGCGCGGCGGATATCGGTGGTCACATTCGCCTCGGACGCCAACAGCGTCTTCTGTGACACGGTGTTCACGGCGGCGTTGCAAGGGCTCGACGTAACCGTCCTCGGCATCGGCAAACCGTACCAGGGCAACTACCAAAAGCTCACTGCCGCACGCGCCCACCTCACCACGCTCGATCCCGACCGCCTTGTTCTTTTCGTCGACGCCTACGACGTGCTGTTCGCCGCAAACGAAGTGGACATCCTCGAGCGCTACGCCTCGCTGCACGTGCCGCCCGGTCGCGTCGTCTTTGGAGCAGAGTCAGGCTGCTTCCCCGACTGGATGGCGCCGTTTGGCCGCTCCTTCTGCGAGGGTCGTTTTCCCAAGGAAGGTGGCGAGTACCGGTCGCTCCTACTCTGCGAGGCCAAAAGTCAGCACTGCTGGTGACTTTGTGTAACTCATCGTTATTATTCGTAGGTACATCAACTCGGGCTGCTGGATGGGGAGCGCGGCCGCTGCCTTTGCTCTGCTGACCGACCTTGCCGCCTACACTCCCGGGCGTGGCGTCGATGACCAGCAGGTGGTGTCGCACTACTATGTCCGCGCCGCCAGCAGTCAATTTGTGCTCGACCGCAACGCCACTCTCATCCAGTCCATGCATTTGGTCAGTGAAAAGGATGTCACTGTCGACGCGCAGGCCCCGCGCAATGGGAGTTCGTCCGTCACCAACAAACGCACTCGCTCCCACCCTGTTTTACTCCACTTCAACGGAGGGTCCAAGCCTCTCCATGTGAGATACCGACAGAGCATCCTCCAGGCAGCTGGAAGTGGTTGCTCGAACATTGCCGCACAGGCGTGGGTGACGAGCGGTGACGGCCGCCGGCTCGCACTGAAAGATCTGTGCCCGGCATTCGTCTGCCCAGCCAAAGGCTAGCGCCTCCTCCGCTCGGCGTCGACGGCTGCGGCATGCACCGTACTCCGTAGGCTAGCGGTCAGCTGAGGACTGCCAGAGGACTGTGATCTGTGTACGGTACGATCGTCTGTGTATCATTAATACCATGCATGGGGGACTGGCCACACCGTGGGTGCTGTCCGGATGGCGCCCCCCGGATGCCAATGACTTGTTTCTCGGGTCCGTTGGCCTCTTTTGTAGGGAAGAATTTTGATACCCGTCAAGACGCCTGCTGGGGGCAGCTTCGCGATGAAGCCGTCTGCTCCCCACTTGTCAACACAGGTCCCCCACCTGCAGCAATCTACAGCAGGCGAGCGCTGGCGCGCGCCATCAACGTATCAGCGTTGACTTGTTTTTTCATTTCAAACTAGAGGAACCACCCAGAGGGCGTAGAGGAGATTTGAGCTGTGTAAAAGCAAATCGCGCTCTACAAGCGGATATCGCCGGTCCACCTCCCACACACCAAGTCTAGAGCCGTACATGGCAGACAGCACATCAGCCCCCCCTCTGGCTGCGCACCACCTCGTAGATGTAGCCGACGCTGCCGCCCGTCTCGCGGTTCGGGCCCTCCATCTCGTCGATCAGCGCAAACTCCCCGCAACTGCCATCGCACTCGAGCCACTTGTCCGTCACGACCACCCTGCAGCCGGGCAGGCAGCAGCAGCCGACCAGCTCGGAGAAGTCGGTCAAGGCCCCCCCCTCGCTCGCCCAAGCGGAGCTGTAGCAAAACACGACCGTCGCGTCGTCGAGCGGGCCGCCCTCCCTCATCGCCTGAAGCGCATCGCCGTGCACAAAGTCGCACCGCGGCAGGCTCGCCCGCGCCTGCGCGCGGACCGCCATCATGTGCAGATCGGCGCACGTCTCCACGCCCGCCGCCCGCGCAAGCTCTGGCCACACGCAGGACGCCGCGAGCACAAGGCGGCCGCACCCAGAGCCGACGTCAACGAAAGTCTCGGGCTCGCGGCGGCCGGCCGGTCGCGCGAGGGCGCGGTCGACGAGGGCGCCGAAAAAGGCGAGGTCGAACTGCGGGTGGTGGGGCGCATGGAATCAACCTCTCTGTGTGTATGTGTGGGTCTCGGTCCCACCTTTGCACGCGGCCGCTCACCTCGCCGTACGTCAAATGCCCGTTGTCCGGCTCAGCACTGAGCGTGGAGCGCCACACCATGCTCTCTCCCAGCTGTGCGCGCCGGCCTACCATCATCCGGTCCGAGTACGAGTCGACGTACGCGGACGAGAGCAAATTGCTTGCGCTCTGGAGCCGCTGCGACAGCGTCAGCATGCTTTGTCGGCGAATCGGCGGGTGGACGTGGTTCCGACGTGGTTCCGGCTCCGTTGACTCGCGCCAAGCCCTCTGGGTTCCGGCTCCTAGCCAGATAGGGGTCTGTCGCTCATAACTAACTAACACCCTATGCAATAGTGTGTGTGTGTGTGTGTGTGTCACCTATGCAATAGGTAGGTAGGTCCGGTTTTGACCGCCCCAGAGGGCCCCGCAATAGGTAGGTAGCCGCTCTTTCCTCTTTTTTCGCGTCGCTGCGCGGCCTGGGGGTAGGTAGGTAGGTAAGGCGTTTTGGCGCGACTCAGTGGTGACAGACCCCCTATCTGGCTACGCAACTTGTTGATGTTCGGTACTCGAGGTTGATCGTGCTTTTCAGAGAGCACCCTGGTCCCTGCTGAAAAACGCAAAAAGAATTTTACCACGCAAAAAGAAATCAATCTCCCCGACGCCGAAGCGCTCCTCAAGACTCTAATCCCATGCACGTACGCCCCCCTGGCCGACTCCGCTCTCAGAGCCCACTCACATCTTGAGCCTGAACCCTTCCCGCCCGCTCACCGCATCTCGAATCACTCCCTTCCCCTCGTCACCCAAATCGTTGTAGCGGAGGTCGATGTTGTTCAGCACCCTGTTGATGCGAAGAGCGGATGCTAGCGCCTTGGCACCCTCCTCGCGGATGTCGTTGTCGGAGAGGTTGAGGGTGGTCAGCACCTCGTTGACGCGAAGAGCGGAGGCCAGTGCCTTGGCGCCCTCGTCGCCAATGCGGGTGTCGGAGAGCACGAGGGTGGTCAGCACCGCGTTGACCGCGAGTGCCTTGCCGATCGCCTTGGCGCCCTCGGCACCGATGATGTTCTCGCTGATGTTGAGGTCGGTCAGCACCTCACTGCCCGACGCGTACTCGGCGATCTCTGCGGCGCCAGTCGGGCCAATGTTGCAGCGAGCCAAGCCCAGCGAGGTCAGCTTGTTGCGCTGCCGCTCGGCACGCACGATGCCGAGGGCCGCCTCCTCGGTGAGGCTGTTGAAGCCCACGTTCAAGGAGGTCAGCACCCCGTTGCCGCGCAGCGCCTCGGCGATTGCGGCGGCGCCCTTGGCGCGGATTTTGTTTCCAGTGAGATTGAGGGAGGTCAGGACCCCGTTGACCTTAAGGGCCTCTGCGATCGCGCTGGCACCCTCGGGGCCGATGCCGCCGCTGCTGTATGGGTCGCCCGACAAGTCAAGAGTGGTCAGCACCTCGTTGACGCGAAGAGCAGAGGCCAGCGCAGCGGCACCCTCGTCCCCGATGTTGTTGTCCCGGAGCACGAGGTTGCTCAGCACCCCGTTGACGCGAAGGGCGTCGGCGATCGCGGTGGCACCCGTGGGGCCGATCTGGTTCCAGGAGATGTCTAGCTCAGTCACCACCCCGTTGCCGCGCAGCGCTTCCGCGATCGCAGCGGCGCCCTGGTCGCGGATCTGGTTGTTGGCGAGGTTGAGGGTGGTCAGCACCCCGTTGACCTTGAGGGCGTCCGCGAGCGCAACGATGCCGGACGCATCGTACGCACCATCACCGTCCTCGTCAATGCCGCATATCTCGTTGCCGCTCAGGTCGAGGGTGGTCAGCACCGTGTTGCCGCGTAGCGCCTCCGCGATCGCGGCTGCGCCCTCCGCGCCGATGTTGTTGTGCGGGAGCGCGAGGGTGGTCAGCACCTCGTTGCGCTCGAGTCCGCCTCTGATCCGAGCAGCGCCCTCGTCGCCGATTTTGTCTGCCGCATCCCGCCACTTCGTGTTTATCCTTGAAACGGCGTTTGCCACCAGCGGGGTGGCGAGGTCCTTGAAGCGGCTGCTGCATCGTTTGAGGGCGACGGCGGAAGCCAGGTCAGACTCGGCAAGCCGACTGGCAATCTTCCGCAACAGGTCGTCATTGAGATCTGCAAGGCAAGGAGGCTCGGCATCTAGCTCGGCGTCCATGGATGCGCGTCGGCGGGCACATCTCAATCACACACCGCCACTCGGCCGCACGCGTGCACACTTGTGCCTGTGCGGTGTGGACGCGCTCTCGACGCGCTCCTCTGACACACAGGCGTCCCACTAGGTGTCCGCTGGTCCTCGACACGCTGACGTCGCCACTATCGCCATCTGCGAAGGCTAGCCCGCTTCGTCGCCACGCTGCCCAGCGACGACGGCGCGGAGCTCATGGCATCGTCCTCTGCGCCTCTCGGACTCGAGTTGCTCGTTCCCGCCGGCGTCGCACAGCTCGGCATCGTCCGCGCCCGCAGCGAGTATTGCCTGACCGACGCCGACCTCCAAGGGCTGCCCCGCTCAGCGCATCCCGGCGCTGGCGTCATGTTCTCCGTCAAGGATCTCGCTAGCGTCGCCATCCTGAAGGGGTACCGCGAGCGCGGGCAGCGGGTCGTGCGTATCAGCAGGCCCGACGTCTCGCGGGCCGAGACGCTCTTCCTTCCCACGGTCGGCGAGGTAAAAGCCATGATGCCGGGACGCGCAGACCCCTCCTCGGGCGCCGGCCCGAGCTCTGGCTCCGGCCTGAGGAGCGGCGCGCTGGCTCCTTCTGACCAAGGAGCAGACTTTTTATTTGACAGAATACGCCGTTAGTCCAACCAGCAGATGTGAAAAATGGTAGCGAGAGTGCACACCCGTGTGAGCGTGCCCCACACCCGTGAGGCGTGAGCGTGACCCATTGCCGCCGTGAAACAAGCACATGGCTAGCAATTGCAGGCGGCCCTCGCGCAGCGCAACGCCCCGCGTGCAGCGGAGGCGGCGACCGACGCCTGTCTGAGCCGTACGCGGGCGAACGCGCCCCGACACGCAGACTGACGCTGACGGCCGCAGCAGCCCTCGCCCCCGCCACGTGGCACCCCTCGCCCCCGCCACACCCGCGCGAGCTCGCCCGCTGTGGCGGCGCGGCGGTCACGGTAAAAGGCGCGACCGCACTGCCTCTCGGCCGCTCTAGCCGAGCCGAGGGCGCCCTCGCCCTCGCCCTCGCCCTCGTCGCCGCCGGCGTCCTGGGTCGTTGCGGTCGGTGTGGGAGGGCGTGATCCAAACGCAAGCGTTGGCTGCCGAGCTGCTTGCGCGGGGCCGGGACGCGGGAGGAGCGCCGGGACGCGGGAGGAGCGGCGGCTGCGGCGACCGACGCCGCGCCGCGAGCAGCGGGAGCGTCAGGACGGAAGTGCGCGACACACCCTGGCGATGGAGTATGAACAAGACGAGCGGGAGGGCACCGAGACACATGTTCGCCGCACCGGTGGATGGTCCAATGATGGTCGTCGTGCCTGCGCCGGCGGCTATTGCAGCGGCAGCGGCGATCGCAGCAGCAGGGCAGCTAGCTAGGATCACCGGCGCCTCACCCGCCCGTGGAAGCTTTGTGGCCTTGTCCGGCCACGTTGTACGGATCAATGTCGCCGGCGCCGAGGGATTACAAGCCGCGCCCGCCTGAGCGAGCGGCGTCAGCCAGCCGCGCAGCGCTCGGCGAATCTGAGTGAATGTCGGCGGCGCGCTCGCGACAGCGCAGCGCCGCACCGTGTGCCCTGCAGAAGGCGAGCGTCGTCGCCCGGAAGGACGGCATCGCGCGGAGCTGGCTCTATGGACGCACGATCAGCGCCGTCCGCGGCTCTTCCTGCGACAGGAAGCAGCAGGGGGTGTCATGCCGCCGGAGCGGTCTCGGCACCACGTCGAACGCGCGGTGGCGGGGGAGGTCTGTGGGTCGCCAGGGCGCGTGTGCGGGCCGAGGGTGCGCCGGTGGGCGTGTGGGGTGGGTAGGGTTGCTCAGGGGCGCTCACACGCACGCACGGCGAATGGTGGGATTTGTTTCGCATGCGGTGACCACAGTGGCCGAAGGTGGTGCTCGCTCGCAAGGGCGGAAGAGGCGTAGGAGCCGGAACCCAGTGGCCGCTTGAAATTTTCTTTTGGTTTCGGCTCAGCACTGAGCGTGGAGCGCCACACCATGCTCTCTCCCAGCTGTGCGCGCCGGCCTACCATCATCCGGTCCGAGTACGAGTCGACGTACGCGTTGGCCGCTCTGTGTATCTCGAGACCTCGAGAGAAGGCCGCCTCCCCGAGGGCCCAAGTCAAGAATTGGCTTTTTTTGGCGGGCAAACGTACGCGGACGAGAGCAAATTG